CGAATGTCAATAAATCAAAAATAGGTTTGCAACTTACAGAGCTAATGTTTTAAGCATGTTTTTATTTGAAGTTAAAAAAATCTTTGTTTAAAAAAACTTTATTAAGTTTATATCTCCACTACCTGGCATTAGATTTTATGACACACATGGCCCGGCCCGGCAAGGTCTCATTTATGTCAGATCCGGCCCTCATAACAAATGAGTTCAACACCCCTGCTATAGAGAATGCTGTCCCTTGATTTTCTGGCCAATTCTTAGAATCAAGAACTCTTTCACACCTTGACAGTTCTGTATCTTCTTTTGAAAGCAGTCATTTCTGAAGAGAAATTTAAAGTTGATCATAGAATGCAACTAGGGAGATTGGTGGTTCATCAATTCTATTTTTTCTATGCAATGGGACACCTTTAAATTGCAGATTTTCTGTTGCCTCAAGTGCTTTCTTATAATAAGGACCTGGAACAGTGCTTCTCTTCCCACAAACATCAACATGACACTCAGGCTTGCTGTGGGCTTTGTACAGATTGATATTTCTTCTTGCAAATCTAAACTCAATTCTGACAGTTCTTGCAAAGCATCACAAATTAATCTGAGATCCAAAATAAATTCAACTGATGTAATCTTTGTATGAAGACCTTCATATGTGCACTTCTCCTTTCGACCATTTGCTGAGTTATCTTTTTCAAAATGAAGCACTAGGGATTCATAATCCTGCCAAACAGCCAAAACAGTTCTGTAGCTAGATGCAACCCATCTTATAGATAAAATCCTTCCAATTTTTAAAATCTTCATCTCCAACGTAACTGCACATGACTTGAGCTGCCTTGCATTATTTGGAGATGAATGATACATAACATACAACTTGTTCAAAAAACTCTTAAATCTATTGATTGCAAAAATTTCTTTTACAAAATCATGTACTGATAATTCCAGCCTATGGCTAGCACAATGCCATAAAACAATGGCAGGGAATCTGACTTTGAAAAGTTTTGAAATTCCTTCACAGGATCCCAGCATCACTGCAGCACCATCACATGTCAATGAAATTAAATTTTACTTTAAGAATTCTTCAGTGAACTTTAGTGACTCAATATGAGACATCAAACTTTTGTATGTTCCATTTCCTGTTGTCTTCCAGCTCTATCAAACCAATGAAGAGATTTACAGGTTCTTGCATGTCTATTTCCTCAGTGTAGGTGCTCACTATCAGTACAGATTTCTGACTCACAATAGCAGATTCATCAAGTATCAGTGAGATTTTGCTCTTTGAATCAACGTAGTTCTCATTTCACTGCCAATGTGCTTTATAATATTTATACAGGCAGTAGCTGAGTGCAAAATTCTTCCCATATCAGTACAATTTAATTCTTGTAAATCAGTTTCAGCGTCAACATTATTAAAAGACTGGTTCTTTTTAGCCACTTTATATGCAGTACAGACTATTTTATTGGTAATTTCCTTCTCTCTTGCAAGTGACTTCAGACATAGTTTTGAGCTTTTCTTCCCCCCCCCCCACCTTCTTCAGTTATTTTAACTGCAACTTTATGACCTGCACTTTCTCTATGGTCAAAAATATTTTTCCTCAGAGATGTTAGTTGCTGTTTCCTATTTTCACCATAAGATGTTACCTCACAATTTATCCATTCTTTAGAAAGCCGCATACTCACATTCTTCTCTGTGCCTAAGCATCCAACATGTTATCACACTGAGCAACCTAACTTACCACCATGAACAAATAACCTTCCCCCCACCACACACAAATTCATTCTTCTGCTCTACAATCCAACAACTGGGCCAAAAGGTTTCATTAACTTTAGACACTGAAGTGGAATTCTGAGTCACTTTTTGCATTTTGCAGTTCAAAACATGAATTATTGGGAGTTAAAATTCAAGCTAGATTGCTTGATGAATCCCTTGATGTTGATTTACGTTTTGTTGTAGCCTCAGTAAAATAGTCTGAAATCGTTTTCATGGTTCTCAGTTGTCACATGGTCCACACACACAAACAAAGACAGAGAGAGAGCTCCCCTCCAAATCTGCAGTGCTCCCTCATCTGAAGAAGCCTGTTGCCACCATTGCAGTGTGGCTCTTACTAAGAAGGAGCAGTGGAAGCCATGGGAAGCCAGAAGGTAAAAATGGCGGCGGCAGCCTAGTTGGCTGCCCTGGCAGAGCTGTTCTGCCAGGCAAAGCCAGCAAGGGGTGGCCCAGGCTCTGCCCCTACTGCTCTGAGGCGCAGTGGACGGAGCTGGCCAAGGAGCACACAAGGAACTCCCTGCCAAGGCCATGTGAAAGAGGAGCCAGCTGGGGGGTGCAACCAAGTAGTTTTGGTTCAGGCCTGCTGGGGCTGTGATCCAAGCCACACTGCAATTGGGTAGTCTGCAGTTGATTTTCTCTCTCCCTCCCGAACCCGCTCCAGACTCCCCAGACTCACAGCCCATGCCTCGCCCTCGGTGAGAGCAACAAGTCCCCTGCGCTGTCTGGCTGCTTCCCCACTCACCCACAGCCGCTACTGGTCATCCCTTCTTTTAAATCTTATTTTTTAAATTTTATTTTAATATTTTTTGTGAAATCACATGACATCATGCGCCCCCCCAGTGCCCCCATGAATTTTTAAACATTTTTTGAGAATTTTGTTTCCACTAAGAGGTTCCGGAACTCCATTCTGGCACCTTTTTTATTCTATTTATTGTGAGCTACGACTTGGTATGTTTGTGTTTTATATTTTCAATCCTTAATGTAAGCTGCCCTGAGCCTGCCTGTGGTGGGGAGGGCAGGATAAAATTTGAATAAATAAATAAATAAATTTTTAAAAGCCCTACCAAGGTGTATAGAGTCAGAACAAGAGCACTGGCCCTACCAGAGCCACAGCTCAGTACACAACCTGCTTACAAACAGATATATGGTCCTTGCAGGGCTCTTTTTGTAGAAAAAGCCCAGCAGGAACTCATTAGCATAATAGGCCACACCCAACACCAGAAACTCATTAGCATATTAGGCCACACCCTTGCCAGCACAGCTCATTAGCACATTAGGACGCACCCCCATGTTACCAGAAGTCTGCCCATCCAGCCACACCCACCTTTTGCTTGTTATTCTGTTTACCTTGTTTGTTGTCCAAACCCAGGGCTTTTTTTGTAGCAGGAACTCCTTTGCATGTTAGGCCACACACCCCTAATGTAGCCAATCCTAATGAGTTTCTGCTGTTGGGTGTGGCCTATTATGCTAATGAGTTCCTGCTGGGCGTGGCCAACTTGGGAGCCAGCCGGAACTCCGTTCCTGTGCGTTCCTGCCCAAAAATAGCCCTGGGTCCTTGTCATGATTCCTGATCATGGGGATGGAACCCACTCCCTCAGTTTATATGCAGCAACTCTACATAAGTAGGAGTGTGGCTGGCATGTTCAGACCCTCCATGTGTTTGCTTATTCCACAAATATGTTGTGTGCATGCACTGAGACACACACATGCAAACAGTTTTACTTGTGTTCCATTCTCCATCCACATAGTTTTGCCTATATAAACTTGTGAACTTTCCTTTCCCTGCCTTGGCTTCAACATGGGTCCCCAAATCTGTGTTTTCTGAGATAATATAAATATGAGAACAGCAATTCTAAGAGAAAGACAGCAAGCAAGAGAGGGGGTGCTTAACTTTTCAGTATTTCCTCCCTTCCTGCAGATTCTTCCCTTTTAATTTCATTGGGGAATTTAATGTCTATGAGCAGGAATTGGCTCTCACTCTTCCTTTCAAATGTTTACAGTTTTTTTGCAGTTAGCTATGGCCTCTTGCTCAGGCAAAACAAATGGTTCAGTTTCTGGTGGTAAACCACCCAGAGTCAGGGTCTGAAATATATTTTGTTCAAGATAACAGCAGGCCAAGCCCAAGTACTCTGGGCTTCTTATGGCAAGACTCCTCAAAATAACAGAGCCACATTAACAAATATTCCACAGAATGGTACCCTATGTCTGGTATCAGAGCCCAGCTGATGATGAGAACTATAATTTTAAACAGCTGGGAAGGAAAATGCAAAAGGAGGCAGCCTTTTGGTAAATTAATCTGTATCCTCACACTTCTCTGTTCTTTCTTGCAAATGCCAACCACTGCCACATTTGTGTTATGAGTCAAACTTGGGGGCACCTTAAGTTTTACTTTGTATAATTCTGTGTTTAGAGTTGGATTTCTTGCAGCTTCAACTACTTAGTATTAAATGGATGAGTAAGCTGGATCAGAAACATTCTGGGAACTAGTGGTTAAGACACTGAACTGCAGGCTGTGGAAGGTCAGTAGTTCAGCAGTTCGAGACCCGAGTTGCCGCATGATGGAGTGAGCTCCCATCTCTGGCCCCAGCTCCTGCCAACCTAGCAGTTCGAAAGCAAGAAATTGCAAGTAGATAAATAGGTACCACTTTGGTGGGAAGGTAACAGCGTTCCATGCGCCTCGGCGTCTAGTCATGCCAGCCACATGACCACGGAAACGTCTTCGGACAGCGCTGGCTCTTCGGCTTTGAAACGGAGATGAGCACCGCAATCCTAGAGTCGGAGTCGACTGGCTTTCGAGCAAGGGAGCCTGTACCTTTACCTTTACTAAGATGGAAGTTTGTGACTCTAGGGTGCTGTCACTTTCCTTTCAAACCCTCCTCCTCTGTTTATGTAGGGTAGGGGGCTTTGGTCTTACACCTTATTCTCATGCCCAGCTAAGGCAAAGCCTATTCGGTAAATGCAATTTCTCTTCATATTCATTCCTCACATACTGTTTCTTCTTTCCTCTTCTTCCTCAAATCCTTTTGTGTCTTCCTGTTAGACTGCAGGCTTCTCACATGAGGCACCATATATTTGAGAGTGCTATATTAATAATAGTAGTAGCTAACACCAGACTCCCTGCACCTATAATTTATCAGATATACCTAAACATTCCAGAAAGGGGGGAGGATATTCTTATTAAGAACAACCAAAATCACTTCTTACTGCCAATTTTATGTATAACTAACATGCTTCTTTTAAACCTACAGAAGAGAATTATCAAGGGCAACCCAGGAAAAAGCGCATTCGAAGGAAGAAGCAAAAGAATGTTTTGCAGAACACTGATAATTCACATGAAGGCCAAGTGGAATGTAGGAAGCATGAAAATCCGACTGAAGATAATTTACAACTGGAACACACAGACGGCCAAGCTTTAAGTCGAAACAAAAAGAGAAAAATGAAAAAGAAACGGCAAAAAGCAAGGATGAGAGCGGTTGGCTTGCCAACAAAACCAACTGGTATGGATTTCACATATAAGCCAGAGAGGGAGGAAGGAACAAATTTGGAAGATGTGAATAAAAAAACAGATGACGTTCTGGATTTTTTGCAAGCAACACAAGAAATCTATTTTTCTGACAGTAGGTAACTCCCCATTACTAACTTTGACATGGAATACCAGAAATACATAGTTATCCTGTTTCTATCTAATGGGAAAACTGTGTAGATTTCTTGTGGGCCTGAATGTGTATACTACTTTGCTGAGCCAGAAATACAACTCTGCCACCAATGACGCAACAGATGTGAGAGAGGTCAGTGGCCCTTGTAGAAATACACACCAGAGTCAATGTTGTTCTTTGGTACTAAGGACGTTGTAATAGCACATGGGAGGGTATCCAAATGGCTTTTCTTGAATAGCAGCCATTCTGTCTGCCATCTGATTGGATCATGCTATCAGGTTACGTGCCTAAGTATACATGGATATAGATTCCATTTATTTTAGTAGAATATATTCTAAACTCATTTAGGGCTGAAGTGTCACTCTTTTATGAAAACTACTAAAATATTGATATGTGTATGTAATTATAACATGGAGTTGATTGTACTCCTATCCTACCACTCCACTGAGGAAAGTTTATTTGTTAAAATATTTCTTTTTGCCTCAAGTTTGAAGCCTCCTCCAATCTGAGGAGGAAGAGTCACTAAAGTTGGAGGAAGGCTCCTTAGACCAGAGAAAAGTTGCCCCACTATATAGATGTATGTATGTCACAAAATATGATGTCATGGCGAGGGCTCCTGCTATAGCTGGAGACTTCTCGCCAGCCGCCATGGTCATTCGCTGTTGTTCCGTACAGCAGGGTGAGGGGAATAGTCATCACTGTGACATCAAAGTGCCTCTCCTGGCACAGCCCTGGAATTGACATCCTTGCATCAGGGCAACACTATGATTCCCCCACCTCACCGGAAATGATTTTGCCGCATCGAAACCCTGATGGTTCTCCCTGTGCCTCCACTTGTATTCCTCCGCTGCTTCCCCTCATTTCCACAGATATTTTTGTAGTCCCAGGCACAAAAGTGCAATTTGTCCCCTCTTGCTCTGCAGCCTCAGATTTCTCTGTTTCTGGAATTCTTATGCCTCACCACAAGAGGGGGCAAACTGAGCAATGTAACTCATTCTCTATGCCTCACCACAAGAGGGGGCAAACTGTGTTTTTGCTCCTAGGACCTCAAAAACATCTGCGGAAATGAGGGAAAGCGGCAGAGAAATACAAGTGCAGGTGTAGGGAGAGCCATCCCTGTGGAAAACATCAGTGTCTGTTTGCATATCCTGTCCCCCGAAACCTCTTTCCAAGATGCCAGCGCTAGGCTGGGCTGGCAGCCCTACTTCATGCTGTGATTGCGAGTAGATAAACACATAAATGTCGAAGCCCAATTCACGTGAACAGAGCTTCTTGACATCTGAACCACATTGTGCTCATATGGCAATTTTTTCATCAGCAGTACCTCGCCAAAAAGATCCCCAGTGTAAATGCATCTTTTCAAACTGTACTGTCTGGACTATGCAGTGTTATAACAAAAACATTCCTGATTTCCATGGTGAGCCATTGCACACTAATGACTAGCCATTCAGAAGATCATCCACCCTACATGCTTATTTAAAGTGTTTCTGAGGTGGAATTCAGAAGATCATCTGAATTTCAGGTGACCCCCGCTGCATGCTTATTTAAAGTGTTTCTGAGGTGGTGTGGGGGGAATATTCTCTTTTTAATAAAACACACACACGTAACTCATTGTGTACATGCAGGTTCAGAAGTAGCTATGTTGAATTCTGATTTAGATCAAGCTACATTTGGCAGAAATCCTAAATGCCTAACATTAATACCTACAGTGATGACTTGGCATTTGGGAATAAGCAATTGCAGATCAAATGCTACAGGTAGAATTTTTGTGTCATCTGATACAGTGCTTTTCAAAAAAAACTGTGCTGTGCGGTGACTGGCCTTGTTGCCCTCCCCCAGTGTGCTACACAGACCACTAGGGGGTTGGTTGATGCTGCTCAGCACCCAAGTGTCAGCAAGCTGCCATTCTGTTTTCTGTGACCTCTGTGTACATATCCTTTCCCTGTTACACCCGGCTTGGTTTCTATCATCCTTTTGCCCCACCAACTGAGCAACGCATATAGGGTTACCAGCCCAGTGCTGGCATCCAGTGTGATACGGCAGGGCAGGGGGTGGTTGTTGTTGTTATTTAGATTTCTGAATCTCCCACCCCCGCAAGCAGGCTCTGGGCAATTTATAGCATTAAAACAGATAAAATACAATCCGCATGGCAAATGTCAGGATCCTGGCTAAATCAGTTCTCAACATTAGTCACTTCAAAGAAAGCTAACTTTATTGAGACTTTGATAGATATCAGGGCTCTTTTTGTAGCAGGAACTCCTTTGCATATTAGGCGACACACCCCTAATGTAGCCAATCCTCCAAGAGCTTACAGTAGGGGTGTGTCACCTAATATGCAAAGGAGTTCCTGCTACAAAAAGGGCCCCATATTGGACACGAGCTATTGTTAGTACTGAAGTTAAACTTGCCAAGGTTACAGATATAGAGTGTTCAAGTAAGGGCACTAAAGATCAGGACCCAATCACCCTACGATATTTGTTCGCCAGAATTAACAGTCAACCACCCCCACTAAGCACGTACCTCCTCCAGAGCATCCCTCCCACCAAAACTAACAGTTGCCTCCCCCCCGGACACGTAGCCTCTACATAGCAAGAAAAACAGAATAACAGACATTTGAGAAGCCAGGACATTTGGCCCCACTAAGGTGAGAAGCCTCTGGCACATCAAAGAGAGAGGAACCCCCTCTCTCAGTGGCAGGTGAGCTGTAAAATGCATAGGGAGCCTGACAATTATTACAATGCACTAATTATTATAATGCACTAATAAAATTATTATAATGCACTAATAAAACAACCAATCCAGATGGCAATCAACCCCTTTTTTGCCAGCTGCTTTGATCTCTGTGCAGCAGGGCAGGGAAGGGGAGGTGGGGCCAAAAGTAACAAAGGAGGGTGCCAGTTTTAACCCTTGCTGTCCTCAACCAAAAGCCCTGGCGGAACATCTCTGCCTTACAGGCCCTGCGGAATTGCATCAGATCTCGCAGGGCCCTGATGTTATTTAGCAGAGAGTTCCACCAGGTCAGGGCCAGGACTGAAAAGGCCCTGGCTCTGTCAAGGACAGCCAGACCTCCATACGGCCGGGGATCATCAGTAAGTTGTTATCAGCTGATCTCAGTGCTCTTCTGGGGACATATTGGAGGAGGTAGTCCTGAAGGTATGCGGGTCCCTGACAGTTGAAGGCCTTAAAAGTCAACACTAATACCTTGAACCTGACTCAGTATTCCACCCGTAACCAGTGTAGCTGGCACAGCACAGGTTATCTGACCAGTGTCTTGCCAACATTTCGTGTTCCTTCCAGTGTGAACTGGAAGTGACAGCACTGAGTCAGCATGACATTCTAGGATCGACCCCAAACTCTATGGTTAAGCCTGAACACATGTATACCAGTTTGCATTAGAAGTGAAGTTGCAGCACTGGCATGACATCGAACCCTCCAATTTTCCCTTACTGTGCTGTCAAGCAGCAGCAGGAAATGGGTCCTGCGCAAGAAGTCTCCCACCATAATGGGATACCTGTCTGCCTTGAACCCATCCTACTCCAACCCTAGTTATGGCCTAACTGGTCAAGGACTAGGACTATATATTACACACACACACACACACACACACACACACACACAGAGGATACAGCAAAAATGATCCCATAAAATGCCAGCTAATCCCATGTTGCTCTTAAGAAAGCTGGGTGGGTCAATAACATGCAATAAAGTCAATGACTGAATACACTGTATTTTCAAAGGAACACTCCAGAGACAACCAATTGCTCTTCACACCTTCTATATTTTCACTGTGCTCTTGTTGAGATGGCTGTAAGGTGAGTGGCAATTGTTTTCCATCTTGGATCTCAAGCACGTATCCCTTTATTCAATCATGAGTATATTGATTTGCCATCATGTAAACATTCTTAAAGCAACTCTTTATTTTATGATGGCGCAAAATCATGACAACTTTGTAATGGCATGTTCAACAAAATCTGGTGAAGGAACTGCTTGAAACAGGTTTTTAACAATAAATACAGCGGGGCCACGGAGATACTGCACTCACTGAAACAACCACAAAATATCCCGTGAAATAATTCTGAACATTACTTGAAAATAGATGCTGATCCCACCCAACACATTTTACAAATTATTAAAGTGACAGTACAGGAAGCCTTAGCATTGGGACATATTAGAGAGTCCACAGCAACATTTTTGATCAATAAAACACCAAGGGTGCCAGTGTTTTATGCGCTTCCCAAAGTGCATAAAGGGGGTATGCCACCCCCTGGAAGACCCATAATTTCTGGAAACTCATCTCTTTTGGAACCTATAGCCCAATTTTTTGATAGTTTTATTAAACCTTTTGTTCATAAGACTCCTTCTTATGTAAAAGATACTAAACATCTTTTACAAACCTTAGGCCCTGGTCACACGGGAGGTTTTGGCCTGGAAGAGGGATGGCTCGGGGGCGCAGCAAACGGGCGCGATCACACCGCAACATCTGGGAAGCGGCGCACACCCGTCCCCGATCCGTCCATTTAGGCTGAAAACGTGCATTAAAAAAAAAAAACCTAGGAAAAAGTAGCACCTACCTGAAACGCCGCAGCAAGCGCGGCCCTGGGATCACCGGCGCACCTGTCTTCAGGAGCATTCGAGGCTCCCGGCCGAACTGCACATGCGCACACATGCGCAGCCGGCTGCCTCGCTCTCCCTTCCGTGGCTTCCCCCCCAGCATCTGATCGTGCCAGGGAGCAACTGTGCAGCAACTCAGGAAATCTGTCTGATCCCCCCGCCGCGTGTCTCTTTTGGTGGAGCTCTAAAAAGCCACACTTTGGCCGCATCAATTTCCCCCGTGTGACCGGGGCCCATGAAGGCATAACAGTACCTGCTTCATCATTATTAGTTACTCTTGATGTTGGCGCCTTATGTACTAACATTCCCCATGATGAAATAAGCATAATTGCTGAGAACTTACTGGAATCAAGAGAAGATCTTAGTGTGCCCACTTTTTTTCTTATAGAGATTCTTCACATCATCTTAGAAAAAAACTATTTTAGATTTCACAATGATTTCTATTTGCAAATCTGCGGGGTTGCTATGGGGAGTCCGTGTGCTCCCAGTTTGGCTAATGTTTTCATGAGTTTTTTTGAATCTAAATAGATTTTGAATAATGAGTCAAACAAGTTTGTGAAGTACATTCATATTTACTGCAGATTTATTGATGATTTGTTCATGATTTTTACTGAACCTGCTTTTTTTGAGGATTTTTTGAAGTGGCTTAATAGTTTACACCCTACTATTATGTTTGAGGGCAAAACCAATGCGTTTTCCATCAACAGCTGATTCAATCAGGATCAGAGCCTTCAAGTGACTCCTCCATCATAGAGGGCATGCCAGCTATAATTCTGTTCTTATCTTCATTAGAGAATGTAAATTGCTCACGCCACTCAGACGTTTCCCAGTAAAAATAACAATAAATACAGCAGGACCAGGGAGATACTGCACTCAGTGAAACAACCACAAAATATCCCGTGAAATAACTATGTTCAAGGTCTGCTACCACTCAAGGTTTTTATCAAGGCTAAGAGAAGAGCAGCACATACTGAAAGGAAAACTTTGCTCCAGGATAAAAGTATTGAAAAGGCTATGGGTATGTCCTTTCCTCTTGATTTTTCACCAATAGCTAAACAAATTAGTCACATAATTTATAAACATTGGCATTTAGTGTCAGGAATTGATGATTGTTTGGGGAGTCCAAAAATTGGATACAGAAGGGGTAGAAATATAAGACACATTATTATTAGATCTGATTTTCAGACAGAAAATAAGATGACCCCAGTCATATTAGGGCATCAGAAGTGTTTTCAGAATTGTGCAGCCTGTAAATATTCTTTGGACATTAAGGCATATGCACATCCACAGAAAGGATATATGATTCAACTTCCACATTATTCTAATTGTAGAACACGCCAGTGTGTGTACCTCTTGGAATGTGAGTGTAAAATGCGATACATAGGTATTTCTATCCGTATGATTAAAGTTAGAATTTTGGAACATCTTTCTCGCATTAGGAATTCCATTATGTCAGCTCCTCTTGTTGAGCATTTTGTTATGACCCACCATGACCCAGAGAAGTTAAGATTTTTTGTTATTTATAAATATACACCACAGAAATATAATTGCTTTGATATACAAAAAAAAATATTGCAAAGAACTTTTGCACCTTATGGTCTAAATAATGAACTTGACTTTTCCCCTCATTTGTAACCTCATACTTTGTGTTATATACTCTCTGTGACTTTAAATGTACTCTGGTATCAGTAATGATATGGATACAATTAGCTTTAAGTATGCCAGATGAGGCAGTGCATGCAAGAACCATTTGTCATTAGGAGTGTATGAGCCCATTTGGGAGAAAGAAGAATGTTTAAACAGTATGGGTAAGTTGGGTGCCAGATTGGAAACATTGATTGTTGAAATGTTATTAATATTGTACACTAGATGTTTGTT